GTTGTCGTGTCTCTGTCCAAACAGAAGAGATGACAGTTGTCCCAGACTGGAATATTCCACGAGTAACCAGTTCCGTGCCATGTTCAAATGCCACGCCTACTCTGGCTCAGGGATAAGGAGTGTATATGTGATCGTACCATGTGTCTTTAAGGGTGTCTAGAAAAACGCGCCCCATTGCTATCAAAGCGGTAACGAGTGTGCATTCGAATGGCAAATACTCGAATGCCATGGCTGCCAGCTCCTCACGGGCGCGTGCATTTGAAAACAATAGTCTTTAGGTTGGGCGTAAATACATTCATAGCCATCCCCTCTATCAGGAGTTTCAGAAAAGAAAATTGTGGTTCCTGAATTGCTTAGTCAACACTTCAGTGGTGAAAATAGTGACCAATTGTTGCATTTTTGGAATTTCCACCTGGTTAAGGAGGGCCTTATGGCTTTCCATGTTAGCTGAAGTAACACATGTATTAGAACACCGGAGTTCATCTAAACTGAATTCTGTAAATAGAGGGAGCAATTTTGCTGGGATCCTGTCTTGTGAACCTACGGAATGTTTGGAGTTTCACTCGTACAGAAATTCTTGGCTGGGTGACTTCAGTGCTGGAAGGTGCTCAGAAGCCTAGGAGAATTTTCAGCTTGGCACTGGTTTTCTTCCACGTAGGTGTTGGAAGAAAATGCAAATAAAAGGCGAAAAAACAACAAAACTTAGAAGAGGGGCGGGGTCGTGTCGATGCACCTATTAGGAAGGAGTCGTACGGACTCGATCAAAACCCCAACCAATGATGTGCCCCGGCACAGCCGCTGAAGAGCGACCAGAATCAAGATCTCTTGTTGCAAAATTGCCAAACAACGTCGTTTGCGGTACGAACAAATCGCAGAACATCGAATCCTAGCCTACGACATGCGCCATGCCAATATGCTCTGTGCGGTGTAACCTGTGTTGAGTCCTTCGTAACTACCGGGTTGTTCGGAACACGCCGTCGGAAACGCTAGAGCGGGGAAGGCGTTCGGTGGTGAGTGAGAAATTGAAAGCTTCTCACCATTTTCAGGCCTTTGACGAGGAAAAAAAGGTCGAAACATTCAAGCCAATCAAAGTTCCCATCTAACGACCTCCTTTCGGCCGAAGCAATTGCACCTTCGGCAACAAAGAGTGTACAGTCATTGAAAATGGCCACTTTAACCAGTGATACTTCCTGATTGGTTGGAGTAGTTCAGCAGTAAGCATGCTTACCGGTATCGTTCTGGGAGAATGTACATCGGTAAGAACCTGGTCTATAAGTGCATCTTGCGTTGAATGACCACACCAGCTCTACAAAAGCAGAACACTGTGAGATGTCCAATCAAGATCTTACCATTATGAATTACCGTAGCGTATCCAATGAAGAACATTTGCTCGTTGTTATACTTTTCCAGTCCTCTGATCCGCTTCTCTCTTCCGTGTTTTTCCAGAAATTTCTTATATGCCTGATATTCGCAAATTATGAAAAAGCCTTGATGAAATGGCAAAAAACTCGTCATACAACGCTGTATAGTTAGAAAGCTGTTTCAGCTTTGTTTTATATTGGACCCTTCGCTCCCTTCACTGAGAATTATCGTTTCTTATCGGTGATCTCGGGAACAGAAAAGCACCAGGAAGATTGGGTAGGATTGACCATTACTGGTGAGAGGGAAGAAGTCACCAAATTTACAGCTTAAATTAATAAACATATGAAAGTACAAGTTCGGATCTCCAGTTAGGAGCCACAGAAGCGCGACTGCTGGCACGGAGGAAGCCCCTGGAAGTTACACCTTCTCAGCACTTTTGCCTGGGAGCCATTTGCAGAGCCCATTATGTGATGCGGCGCCGAATAAAATGTATCCTGATTCCCTTGGCGAGAATGTGTGTTCTATAAGTATGTCGAAGTTTCTAAGCGAACTGGAAATGGTGGGTGGGTTTCTCGTGTCGTACGAAAGATGTCACAAGAATACCACGAAAGGAACTTTTCAAGAATAGCAGGCCTAGGAAAAAATGGAATCGTATTGAGATAACAGAGGCTTTCTGGATTGAGGTATTGCTTCTTGTTCTACAAATGGTCTCCCATGAAGATCTTAATACTTCTTTTGGACTGATATAATGAAACTCTTCTAAGTCGTTTATTTCTAGGCGGCGTCTCGGGCCTTGAGACTTCCTTAATGTCTACAAAAACCACACATGTAAAAGCCTTCACCAACCAAACCTACTACTATACATTATATCGCAAGATATTCGAAGAGGGAAAGCAATCAATTAATCAACAACTGACCGACTTCCTACGGGCAGGGTACAGCAACGTTGTGTCAGACCCATGAAGGGGGTCGTACTTTTGCTCTGGGGAGGGGGAGGGGGTA